ACATTGTATCTGTAAAGTCTGCAGAGGCTTCTGGGTAGAAAGTCCGTAATGAAACTCACTGGCACTTGTTAAGTGATTGCTCCTGGACAGGCTGTTGGAAGCTGTGCTGAGGAATGACCACAGGGCCTTGATGATGCTCTGAGAAGAGCCACGGTCCACCTCGCTCTTGGTCACCTGGAAACAGAGGCTGTAATGACATTAGCTGGGTCACATGCCTCTCCTCTCAGCCAATAACCCAGCTCCCGGAGAATCAAAGCAAACCTCCTGAAGACGCATCGGGGGCATGTTTGCCCGGTTTGCCTTCAAACTGATTCTTTCGTTGTAAAAAAAATAGTTTTAATACTTCAGCACTAATGTTCTTTTAATGTTTATTGCTTAATGGATAATACTTATTATCTAAAGCTAAAAGCCTCCGAAGTCTTAAAAACGTATTTAGCCGATATGTAGACTTGTCAAGCAGCGATTCCTCTGAGGCGGGAAGCAAATGAGAGCAGTTGGTATTTATTGAGCGGTGCCCGGTCGGCACCCGATGGCCATTCAGGGTCCAGCCGAGCAGCAGGGCTGCGCTGCACACGTCACCAGCGATGTGAACGATGGGCGTTCCTGGGGTCAGGCCGAAGTCTGGCCAGGCCCAACTCTACACCTCCTACTGTGGCAGTGGCCAGAGGCCAGCCACCTCTGCGCCCTGAAGTCACCGGCTTAACCTAAACTCCATCAGTTCCCAGAACATGAGTGCAGGTGGCACCTCCTGCTGCACAGCCACAAGTCTCAGATGGAAAATGCCGGGACCACCATGGACCCCACCTCTGTGTCCCACACCCACAGTTAGCATTCCTGCCTTCTTCCTACCTGGAGCTCCTCAGCATGTTTAAAATTCCTGAGTAGCCACATCCATTAGACTTATGCACCACAGCCAACAGGTCTGTGTCCTTCCCGTTGTCGCCAAAATGGGTTTTTCAGAGAGAATTCTATTGTAAACACACTAGGAGTGCAGGCTTCGTGAGGGAGGGCCCAGTGCACCCCACCCACCTTCCACCTGCCGCTCTGCTCTGTGAGCACGGTCTGTGCCTGGGTGTGCTGTCACCTGGGTGCGAGGTCATGCTGGTGCTCGGGTCGTGGCAAGAGGGTCCCCACGTGCCTTCCTGTCCCTCACAAAGGATTGTGCATGTTAAAGAGTCTCTCTACACACACTTCAAATAACTAATTATTCTTAATTCTAGGGTGCAAGAAGACTTTAGCCATCCGAATCAGACAATTGATTTTACTGAATAAATCCACTACTTACCTAATTTTATCAGCTTTAATTTAATTTCCTCCACTGTTCAGTTTTGGATTCAGGCTAAGGAAAATTCCGAGGTCTTCCCTGCTTTGTTTTGTATTTTAAATACCTTGTGTATGAAATGACGTCCAGGCTCTCTCCTTCCTTCCCTTTTCCTACTTTCCCTCCAAAACTATAGTCCAAAAATTGTCATGGGGTAATAAATAATATTTTACTCATTATGTCTCTTCTCAAGATAGCACCAGGCCTCTGGGGGATGACCAGAGTAGTGACGTCCCCTCTGGTAACTGCCCACATGGAGGACAGCCTAGTTGCCCTGGCAACAGCTGGCACTGCTCTCAAGAGCATCACATGTTCTGCCACAGTTCTGGAAGAGTGGTGTCCAGTGAGTGACGATGTCGAAACCTTCTATGCTGGCCAGTCGCACAGGCCACCCTTCAGGGTTAAGTCACTGTTGAAAGGGTTTTGAAAGTCAGTTCCAGGGACCAAAGAGACCCTGAGCAGCTGAAGAGAGGATTGAGTCTGTGTCCCAGGTGAACCCTGGCAGTACACTGGGGGAGGCCTAAGAGTCTCTCCTGTTGGGTCAGACATTCATGCCGTGCCTAGCTGTCCTGAGGCTCGCAGCTGGTGGCCCAGAGGCTATGGGCTCCCGGGGAGCTGAGCTGTCCAGTGCCTGGAGCCAGGGTGGGGTGTCACTCATCAGACATGGCTCTTCTGGAGGGTTTTATTCATGGAATCTATGACACCATGTAGAGCTCCTACTGCATGCTCACAGCTCTGCCCTCAGAGGGCCCGCAGAGGAGAGGGTCACTGGACCAGCCCCATGCCCACCCCCAGCACAGCACAGGAAGCAGAGGCACGGCCACCAGACCATAACTCAGCCCACACTCTCCATGCACAGCCAGGCACAGTGTGACACTGACTGCTGCTCAGCATTTCTACTGGTACCGCCTCATTTTTTTCAGAAGGGTTTTGAGAAAGTCATTGGACAAATTTTAATACTCAAGGCCAGTTTTAATAAATTTTGCTTACTAGAACTCAGTTTCCAGTCTCAGAATGGAGCTTTAGCTCAACCGAGCTGTGCACAGTAACTGTGAAGCCCCGAGGCAAAGTGGACCCTGGCAGCATTTGCTGTCTTCACCATCCAATGTGAGTTCTGACCCACGGCAGTAACTTTCACACTCGTGAGAAGTCGTGAGACCCCTGCGGTGGGGACCATGCACGCTTTCTACTTTGAAAAATGCTGTCCCTCCCTGGTGAGGGGCAGGGCAACTGACAGAATGCTATCATACAAGAAATACTCTTCGTGGTGTTCTGTTATTTGTGGGAAGATGCAGTGTTTAGCTGTAAAGGTTTTTTTGCATGTGGTTATCAAACAGCAAGTCTTCCCACTCTTCGGTATGGTCTTCTTGGAGCTCTCAAGCAGAGGCAGGTGCAAGGTGGCCATGGCTGGCCTTCTGGTGGCCTAACGTGCACCAGGCTCACCTGGAGACTTTGCTTCAGCCTGAGCTGCAGGGAAGGCAGACTGCGTCAACTCACCCATCTTCTGCCCTCAGCAGTGTCACTTAAAATGACATCATAGCAAAATGTACAGAAACAGCCTGTACCCAAAGGTCCAGTCACACTGCCACAGCCACAGCGAGGGCTGGGCATCTCAGAAGAGGCTGGTCCAAGAGCCGAGTCCCACACAGAGCACTGGCTCCAGCAGCCTCTTCTGCTCCCTGCTTTGCACATGGAGGCCTCACATTCCCAGGGCAAATTTGTTTCTTCACAAAGTTGTTCCTCTGATTCTGCCACGTGGGTACTACATGCCATGTTGCCGTGGGAAGGCCAGCAGATGGCTTCCTCAGACGAGGGACCCTGGCTGGTCTGTGGGCTGCTCTCGATCTACCCGCTCTGCAAACTCACCCTTTTGTTTCGGACTGTTTTAAAGATGTGGATTTCTTTTCAAATGAGATTGTATTTATTGCGGCCACACCAGCTTTGGAAACCTCTTAACCCCTGGAGAGAAGCACTCAAGCGACTGACCTTTGTCAGCCAAAGCCTGACCCTTGTCCTTCACAGGAGTGCGTTCTCAGCAGCTCCTCAAGTGCTGAGCTCCTGGAGATGCCCGGCTGACACGAATGGGATTTCTTTTCCTCTGGTAAAGGCTTCAGTAGAAAAGTCGGTCACCACTTGTGACGTCCCTAGGCCCTGTACAATGGTGTCTGTTGCCCTTGGGTAGAAACTAGAGAGGCCAACATCTTGGTTTTGAGTTGACAGCACCATTTATCCTGAGACCGCCCTGGCCACCTTACTCCTAAGGCTTTCATCCACCTTCAAGAATGGCCCAGCTGTCTCAGGCTGGTCCGGCTTAGGGCTGGCAGGCCAGGTGTAAAGCTCAGTCCCTCCTCCTCTCAGCCCCTGCCTTGCCCCAGTCTAGGTTGGCAGGGTCTCCATGCTTCTGTTCTGTTTGCCTTGTGCAAATCTGACACATAGTGTGAACGGGTTTCCTCCCAGCATCTCCATTCACCCTCCTTTTCTCTAGCTACTAGGGATTCCACATTTTCTCGAGGTGATCTGCAGGCCCTCACTGTCTACCTCCGCGGCCCCACAGCCACGTCAGATGTTCTTCCTGAGGCAGCACTGGGCAGGGCCTGCCTGCTGGTGGCCCAGGTGCCACCCAGTAACACATAGCAGCACAGGGTTAAGACATGACGATAAAGCCAGAAATCCCAAGTCCACACTCCTGATTTCGTGGCTGAGGAACATAGTATGCTTGTGAGTTGTGGCAGGAAAGAAAAGACCACATCTTCTCTTTGTGGCCACTCTCCAAGGTCCTACTGGGCTTGCCCTGTTTGTACCCCTTGGGATCTGGGTTCCAGTGAACATGGCTGCCGCTCTGTGACCTCGATGAGTCTCTACCTCATCACAGTCCCCACTTTGCTGTGTTCTGGTAACAATGAGCTCACTTGTGGCCCCAAAGTTGCCTGGTGCCTGGGTGGTATTTGCCAATGGCTCCCCTGCTCCTGCCTCCATAGTGATCTGAGTCACTCTTGTGGGTAGACATGTCCTCTCCTCCTCTAAACCTTAACAAGCTTGAGAGGTCGGATCCTATCTTGCCTGTTCACTGTCTGCTGAAGGACCTCGCGAAATACAGAGGCAAGAATATGCGTTGAACTAATGATAAGGGTAAGATTCAAAATCAAAGCGTGTTTGCATGAGCCGGTACCACCTAAGAAGGACACTGCTGTCCACGGGGATGGAGCGCCACAGAGCTGCCTTGGCCCTTCTCACCTCTCCATTTAAAAGCCAATATTAAGATGTAAAAGATCAGCCTAATCTTTCTTTTTTTAAATAGAAAATAATCCCGTGCAATCAAAATTGAAGCATTTATACTGCTTCCTCTGACTTTAAACACTCTTTAAGATGCCACCCCAAAACCCTAATAAAGCCCCACTTTCTGTTGACGGCAGCTGGCTGTCGCTAAGGATCTGTGCAGGCGTCTTATAACAATTTTTTCAGCCCCGCTTTCTTGAATTAATGCTAATGAAAACTGCCCCAGTCTTATTTTTCTATATGAACGCTGGAATTGCAGCTGCCTGCCACGCTTGCTGAGGGATGAGTGTAATAATTTTCAATTGGCCTCTTCGCCCAAAGGGAGCCGGGTAGCAGGAGATTGGCAGATGTGGTATAGATTATCTTGTGCGCTGAGCTCAGCCCAATTTGTGGTTTGTTGCAGGTGCTAAAGAGATTGATATCGCCGCGACCCTGGAGCACTTGAGGGACCAGAGACCAGGCATGGTCCAGACAAAGGTACTGTCAGTCAATCCTCTGGGACTGCAAACGTATTAGAGATGCCTCTCTGTGGCTGCTTTCCCATGAGCAGAGAGGGGATGAGGTCTGACTTAACATAAGCCAGGCATGATCGCCCTGGTCCAACCAGGCATCATCTACACCAGTCCAAGTGGGCAAAGGCACATCAGGGTCTCTCCTGAGAGGTCCACAAGTCATTCCTGGAGCCACATAAGCACTTCTGACATCAGCAGATGTTGTTCCATCTCAGCTAGGTGAAAATCAATTGGAGCACCTCCCTCTTCACCAGGTTTGGGAGTGGGAGAACATCACATTTGTGTGTGTGTGTGTGGTGTGTGTGTGTGTGTGTGTGTGTGCGCTGGGGATGGAATCCAGGGCCTCACTCATGCTAGGCAAGTACTCCATCATTGAGTGGCAACCCCAGCCCAAACCCAGAACCATTCCAGCATCCTGAGCTCTGCCTGCCTCCTCTGTCTCCTGAATCCACAACCCTCACTGTGCTGTGCGGCAGTACACAAAGACAGAGACCAGTGGACTGTCCCCAGGGTGTTTGGGGTCCTTGAGCCCCTGAGAGTAGCTCAAACTTATCAAAAGGTCCAGATTGCAACAACGGGGTGAAAACAAAAGCTTTCTGTTAGGCTCAAAACCACCAGAACTGGAAGTGAGGTTGATACCATCTCCCGTTCCCTTTGCATCCCAGAAACATCTATGTCCAACAGCAAATGCTCTCACACGCTGCTCCACAGATGGAGCAAGTCATGAAATATAGGCTTCTCCTTCATGGAGTATTCCTGACACTGTGGGTGTCACAGGTGCCCTCAGGAAAGGCATGGTGCTGTTAAAAGATGTGCCTGCAAAAATTACTTCTGTAACTTTAGAGGACTAAAATATAAAAGTCTTACTGGGGTTAGGGGTGTGATTCAGTAGTAATAGAGCACTTGCCTAGCAGGGTAGCCCTGGGCTCCATCTCCAGCACTTAAAGAAATTCTTACTTCATAGAGGACACCCTGTGAAGTCGGGTTGACCAGCGTCAGGCCTCCATCCCTGGTGCTACAACTTGGGGATCCCTGACTAGTCATCTAGGTCTGGTCCCTCCGTAAAGTGCAGGTGATTCCTAAGCCCCAGCTTTCTGTCCAGATGTTATGACAAGACGTGAGGCAGTGTCTGGGCAGACAGGAGACAGCAGCCCAAATGCAAACCCACTGCTGGTTGCCGCGGGAGAGGCAGCGAGCAGGACTGGAGTGAGCAGGTTTGACTGGAAGACCACCCTTCCTGGAGCTGGCTGGCTGGCTCTGCTTTGCCAAAGTCAACCTCAACACCGAGACAAAACCAACTTAATATAAGCTCTCTTACAGGGGACAAAACTGTTTAAAGAGAACCAGAGAAACCTCTTAAAGAACTGCAATGGCCATGACCATCCGTGGGAATCACAGTGGCTGTGTGGCATGTGTTCCTTGGTTTCATTTCTCCCTGTCACAAAAATCTTGCATGTTTATTGCAGGACTTTGTGACACCACTTATATTTTCCTAGTTTTGTTTTATTTGAGATTATTTTAGACTTGCAAAAGAACTTGCAGAAATAATACAACTCCCAGGTACTCTTCACCTAGCTTCACCAAATGTTAACACCTTGTATAGCCTTGGTGCAATTATCAAAAACAGAAGGTTATCACAGATCCAAACCATCAGGTAATCGGCAGACAAGTTCAAATCTCACTTGTGTCCATCAGTGACCTTAATCTGGAGCAAGGTCTGCTCAGGATGGCCAGGAATGTAGCCTCACCTCCCCTTCTTCTCCTGTGGGCTGGGACAGCTCCATGACTGGGAGAGGCCAGTGTTTTATAGACCAGTTCAGTCTGGCATGGAGGACAGAACCATCCCAGAATGGGCCACTTTTTCAGCACCCAAAATAGGAACACACAGTGCCATAGTCCACCAACACCAAAGCCTGAAGTTTATGTCCACATGTCTGTCCGTGCTGGGTGACTGCTTCCCCTCCATAACTGCTCAGTGTCGTGAGGGTGTATATACATTGTCTGCCACAGCCCACTTGTACATGTGAGGTCATCAGAACAGGAGGGTTGTAGGGAACAGTGGCTGGTACGGTGACAAATAACCCACAGGTTTTGTGACCTTAGAAGGGTCTAGGAGAGGTCAGGTTGGGCATCACCCCCACAGCGGGCCTTGTGTCCCCAGGCCAGGTGGCTCAGAACAGGACAGAGGAGGTCCATGATGCTGGGAGATCAGAGATACTTTTACCCAGAATGGGAAGCAGAGTCCAAGTGTGCACTGTTGCCTACACCGTGGAAAATCCACATGAAATTCAAACCAGTTTCTTCTGAACCTGTCTCTCCACACCTCTCAGGCCTCTTCCCTGCCTGATGGGTTAGACACCTAAAAATGGATTACGTTTAGTACGGACCTGCACCAAACCCTCGGAAATCCTGTGCCAAAAGTGAAAAAAAGTGCTTAACACAGGGCAAGGAGAAACCACTGGACCCAGGTGTCAGTATCCCATTTCCAAAATCAGCATAAAGGGCAGGATCACTGAGGCCTGACCCTGCCTAGCCCTTGGGACTCTGGGCACATCAAGGAAAGATGGGGCTATGGTCGCTGTTCATACATGGCAGTTCTACCTGATGTTTGAGTGACACAATAAACCCTACCCGCTCTAACAGCACAGCCAGATTATTTGGTGAACCAAAGCTCCCATCCCCCAGTGCTCCCAGATGCCTGACTCACCTCATGTGACTTGTGGATTGTCCACGGAGATTTACCCGTCCGTAGGTGGGGGTTTTAGAAACTGAGGTAAAGCTCCTGGAGTCCCCAGGTACACAGAATTAGTGGACCCATCCCATTTGATAGCCGCTTTGCCAACACTGCCCCATGAGGCTGAATTTCCCCCTAAAGTTCAGAACCATGCCATGTTCTGAATACCCCTTGTACAGGTCCCGAGGGGGGCGTCTGCAGCCTGCTTCTGCGGCTGAATCCCACGCTCTGGACCTAGGACGAGTGCAGACGCTCCACATGTGAGCGTGCGCACCGACCGTGGGCCTGGGGCTTAGCGCTCAGCGGAGCCTCCCGACAGCACGCTTCATTTCGTGTTGAAACCAGGCCTGAGCGAGCCCTTCTCCTCCCTCCTGAGAAGTGAGTCAGCCACACAAACACCCAACACGCAGGGCCCTCTCCCCACAAGCAGCACAGACGCGCAAGGCTTGGTCACCTCAGGTCATAGCCGGACACCTGGGAGACTGACAGCAGCACACAGGCTAAGACGAGACGCCTGGTCCCCTGTGAAATGCGCACTAGCACTCCGGATGGTCACAGAGGAACAAAGGAGGATGCCATGAAAATAACGCTCTCCAAGGTGATGCCGTAAACAGATCCCCCTGCCTCAGAGCCCTTGGGAGTTGCCTTGGAAACCAGAGGCCTTAACACTTTCCTACCTGTCTCAATAGTTCCTCTTTTTTTATTAGCGTATGTTGATTGATTAAAGTCAGGGGTTTCATTATAACATTTTGACACAGGCGTGTAATGTACTTTGGCCGTGTTCACCCCTCTGTGGCCCTCTTCCCCTTCCCATCCCTGGGACTCCCCCTTTTATGTTCATGCCCTATTTTTCCTTGGATTCCACAGATGAGAACCTGCAACACTTGTCTTTGTGACACTGGCTTATTTTATTTCACTTAACATGATGGTCTTGCTGTGTAGCCCAGGCTCTCGGTCTCTCAAACTTGAAATCCTCCTGCCGCAGCGTCCCAAATGCTGGGATTACAGATGTGCACCTCCACATCTGGCCCACAGTACTTCCTTTTTTTTTACACTTGTCAGTTCTAGAAGCAAAAATCAACAACTAACTTGTCCTACAACCAAGAGGTAAAGGATGCTGTGCTCCGCCAAATAGGGCGCACGCATGGGAGTGTGTGTGAGTGCAGGTGTGTGTAAATGTGTCTGCAAGTGCACATGACAGTGTGAATGTGGACGTGGGTGTAGGGGAGCACTGTGCGGGTGCCAGGGAGCGGGGGGGGGGCGGGGGGGTGAGTGGGTGGAGCATGTGCGAGTGTGTACGTATGTGTGGCGCTCAGCAGCCATGTGCCCTCACCGGGCTCATTCTTGCATTCTGGTCTTGTGCTCCCTAAGTCCATCGTCCCAGTGCCCTGCTCCAGTGCCCTCCTCACCTTCCTCATCAGATGCACCAGGCGTAGGTGGTGAGTCCCTGGAAATGGGGCATGCTCTACCTCCCCAGCTTAGACCACGCCTGGACCACCACGTGGACCAAGTCATAGCCCGGATCGGCTCCCTATCCTCCCACGCTGGAGAAACCCTTCAGTTCTGTATCTCGGTCTCCCTGACTCCCTCTCTCTCCTTCTCTTCCTACCTCTCTTGCTATCTCTCCCTCAGTCTATCTCTCTCTCTCTCTCTCTCTCTCTCTCTCTCTCTCTCTCTCTCTCTCACTGCCTCCCACCCATGCGCTCGTGCGCACACACACAAACAATACCCATCTTTAACTTCCACCTGACTCTGTCATCAGAGATGTAGCTAGGCGCTGGTCCACTTTTATGAAGCGAAGTTAACAGTGAGACCGAGTGATGTTTGGGAGCCATGCTGGGCAGCACCTCTCTGCAGGGGGTGTGTGGGCTCCTTAGGTCACAGGAGCTCGGATCAGGGGTACATGGTGACTCCTCATGGGTGATTATAGCACCAGTGACTCACAGTACAAGTCCACTCGACCTGTGCTCAGGCCATGGGTCAGAAGTACAAGTTAGCTGTGTCTCAGGCCAGCCACTGCCAGCTTCCACCATGGCCCAGCCAGCACGAGCCACAGCTCCAAACACACGTGGTGTCCGAGGAACACGGCTACTCCCCAATAGCCAGGTCCTCCTGCCTGACCAGCTCACCTGGCCCAACTCAAGGCCTCAGTGTCACAGGTCAGCTTGAGGAGGAAGCACCCGGCTTCTTTCTCTGGTCACACAAATGGTGACCACACACACTGACACCTGTGCCACTTTAGGCTTCTCAGAAGGCAGGGCTAACCTGGAGGGACACAGGATCTGTCTGTCCCCTGCAGGCCTCAGTTTTTAACTGCTTTTAAAAATACTTCCTTCAGGGCTCTTTCTACCATCCTGCCTTCACACGCCCATTCTATTTTTTTTAATCTTTGTTTTTTAATTAGCATATATTCACAGTACAGGGGAGATTCATTGTGACAATTCCAAATAGGCTTACATTGTACATTGGTTAGATCGCCCCCACCATTGCTCCCCCTCAGCACCCTCCCTGCTCCACTTAAAGCAACCGCATCATTTTATTTTGTATGTGTATATGAAGTCCATCAACCATATTCCCTCTCCTTCATCCCCCCATAAGTGCCCCTGACACTGTACCTGTTTTACAGTCCTGTCTTTCATTATTAATTCCAAAGTCAGCGTTCAGAGGGGTTTCTTGATGTATCCCAGCTGTGAACATACTTTACTGTGGTCAGCTCAGCCTCCTCTGTTACTCTCCCTTACCCCTTCCTCCCACCCCCCATTATTCAGCAGCTTTCAGTGCGTATCGTTCGGTCCTCTGCCTGCACAGGTGTAATGTGTCTTTCCATATTGTTGACTCTGTCATTCTCTTTTCCTCCCCGGAGTGCCACGGAGTAGTTCCACTATTACAAACATGTTCGAATGTAAATGTGCAACCCCCATTTTAAAACCAGGATGTCCTCAGTCTTCCTGCTTGACCACTTGTGTCCCAAGATTCTGCTTCGATGAAAACAGGCATCTTTGCCACCCTCCTCCCACCGTGTGCATTTTATTCCCTAACCTCTGCTGGATTCTAACGTCTGACACTGATTCCACCGCAAACATGCCTCACTACTGAGTGCTTCCAACTCCAGGGCTGGTCCCTTCCCTGACCCCAAGGTCAGGTGGCACTGCTCAAAATATGACCACAGATAGCTGAGGGTCCACATGTGATGACCTGTTCGGGACAAGAGCTGACAGCAGACACACGTGCTTGTACTCTGAGGGGCTCACAGGCCATGGACAGGCTGTTAGCTCAGCAATGTGGGCATAAGCCGTGATGGGTGGGAAGAGACCCAGGGAGCCTCCCCTGGGGGCTCCCTGTAGTGAAGAGAGCCAGGCTTTCCAGCAAGGAGGTTCAGTGAGTGCTGTCCCAGTCTGTCACACAAGCCAGGGAGCTCTGATTCTTGCCCCCGGAAACCTGTGACAACCTTTCTCAGTTTCCTAGAAAACTGAGAAAAAGGTTTTCTTCCTGAAAAGTAACCCAGCAGCCTGAGGAAGCCACTCTCGCTCACGTCACCTCTCTCCTCTTGTCCCCTCTGCAGGAGCAGTTTGAGTTTGCACTGACAGCTGTGGCTGAGGAGGTCAACGCTATCCTGAAGGCCCTTCCCCAGTAGGTGCTGGAGCCAGAGCTGCAGCAGAGTCTGAGTACTGCCAGCACCGTGACAGGCCGCTGCCCCACGCCCAGTGGATAGTAATGGGGTCCTTCAAACTCCCGTAGTCAGTGCAGATTCCCAGTTATGTGTACTTTGTTCAGCCAAATGACAGATTTGTGGAATCATCCAGTTAGGAGGGGAAGAATCAGTTCATCTATTTTCATGTTCTTGAAAAAAATTACTTTTCCCTACAGCCCACATTCACAGTGTTAAGTTCAAATAATGTCATATTGACGATAGTCATTAGTACAGTTTCTTAGGCCTCTGGAAGAAAGTGTGCCTGCAGTGTGTGACTTGCTGGAGGCTGGGGTAGTGATGCAGGGAGGACTGGGAAAGCCACCAAGGCACTCAAGGCAGATCACCACCAGGTGTGGAAACCACATTTGGCATTTGTCTATAAGACGTTTCGTCATCAGGAGAAACCTCTGGGGTCAGTGTGTCCTGGATCAGGTAATAGCATCGTCACCCATTGACAAATGTCCACCCTGTGAGCCACCCCAAGATCAGGAAGAAGGGCTTCCTAAGGCACCTGCTCCTAAGGTAGTTTCACCCTTGCAAAGTTACAGATGAGCCCAACCTGAAGACATGCTTTACTGTTAAAATACTGATTTCTATGCTGCAAAAGCAGGGGCTCCAAGTGCACCTTTTCTCTGAGGTAGCAGAATCAGGACAAATGTGTCATTTAGCAAGTCCTAAGGGTCCCCCAGAGCACCTGTCCTGCTGGCCCCAAAGAAGGGGCTCCCATTCCTGGGAAGAAGGTCAGGAAGCCCCACAGGCTTGGTTCTGCTGCACCACAGCCCCTGAGGCAGAATGAGACCTGATGTCCTGCGTCCTCCCAGACCACTCGTGAGACACGTGTTCTCTGGATGACCCAGATTTGCCAAACATTTGAGCATCAGACCGCCCACCTCCCCAGAAATAGGAAAATGCACTTGACGAAACACAGAACAGTGCATCCAGGGGGACCGGAGGTGCCACTGCGCACTGTGGGTTCATCGCAGGTCTAAGTGTAAAAAGACACCATGTGCTGTGTCCCACGTGGTTCTTTCCCTGTAGCGTGACATTTCAAGTCACAGCATGGCAGGGAAAGTGGCCTGCTGACTAGGGAGAGAGGTGCCACATTGCTGCCCTGTCGTCAATCTGCTTCACGTCACCATCCTTCCTCTTCCAAAACTGTTTCTCCCTACTTGGAATTCCAATAATTAACAGAAATGAATTTATCTGAATATAGTAAGCCTATAGCTACTTGTAATTTCTAACTTCTTATGTTTAAAAGAAATCCTCCAGTGTGAGATATATAAATATATTTAATTGTGTCATAGTAAACATTCTGATTTCACACTTGATGGTCTTTATTGGGACAGAAGAGCGGCTGAAGCGTGGTCACTTCCCAGTGCACCGCCATTACTCTGCACGCCAGGCACACACTCAGGGCCAGGTGTGCGCAGATTTCACTCTTTAAAGGTGGCTGCACAGTTGCAGTGACACCGTGGGCATGGCCGGTGTCGTGCGTGGTCTGTGCTCTGCTCACACCAGTGCTGCTGGGTGAGTCTCACTCAATCGGGCGGAGCTCTGTCCTTCCTGGCTCTGGTCCTCTGTCCCCATCCACACCAGGCGCACACCCCTCTCACTTCATAGAGAGCTAATGGGGGCTTCACTGTTCCACTTTCTTTCCATCTTATCCTTGACTATTTTAGCCAGGAATGAGGAGAAACAAAGGTCAGGGGAATCTGTTCATCACAAAATCAGAGGCCTGGTGTCCCCCAAAGTGTCAATATTCCTTTCTTAAGGGGCCAGGCCTCAGTGGGCCACCAGTCCATCCTTGTCCACGTGGTCCATTGGAACCTTGGTTCTGGGGCATCATGCCAGGGTCCTGCACACCCCTGAATTTTGTTTTTCCTGTGTGTCACTCAATGCTCCCTGAGCACGCACAGCAAGACACCTAAATGAAGCCACAATTTAGGCTCCAGGGCCAGGCACTGAGGCAGACAGAAACACCGTGCAAAGATTCAGTTCCTGCTGTGAATATTTAGGAATGCTGAATAGAAACCTTTTTTTTTTCAAGTTTATAGCCACAATGTAAAGAAAGCGAGAACTCTTTAGGTGCTCATTACAAAGAGGAAAGCCAGGGCATTGCAGGCAGGGTGTCAGCCCCGGGCCCACAGGCTGGGAGTGGCACAAACAGCTTCTGGACCAGTGCACTGGTCTTTGTGTAACAACCAGCTCTGAAAAAAATACAGTGAATGCTTCGTCGTCCACTCTGTGGAGCCCTGGTGACCGTGGATGCTTGCTTGGTTTTATGTAGCACTCTGGATTCTTGGCCAACGGTGTCTGCACCTGGGATAGTTGTTCTCACTGAACCCATGTGGACGGGGATGACGTACTGATCAGGTCAGAGGGGACAGACGACAGAGAGCAATATGTGATGGGGATGTTTTCCAGTCCTACAGGACTCTGGCCTTGATTTCTTTGTGCTGTTCACAATGGGAAGACGCCAATTTTAAGTCTAATCAGCGTTCTGACTCCACCACACACGTGTCAGCTGACAGTCAGCAACATAGAGCGCCCACCTGCTGTGTTTGCCGGTTCTGTGGTGCAGGGAAGGGACGAGCAGCCCCCTCCCCACCCGGCACCAGCATTTCCACCACAGTGGAGGAAATCACTGAGTGAAAAACTGCTAGACCTGACAGTAAAACAGAATGATTAGGAAGTGATCAGTTTCTGAAATGGGCTAAGGTCTGGACCCACTGGACATAAATTCCTTAAACAACAAAGTTGTCCTCCAAGGACAGTCCCCCGGCCTTTCACTGATGAGCCACAGGTCTGGTCAATGATGTCATAAGTTCAAAATCCCCACACAGAACATAACTCCCCACCATCACCACCAAAAGAAACAGGTGCCCTATGAGGAAGCAGGTCTCCCAGAAACCAACCAGCTCCTGCCCTGCCCTGTGAATCCCCCAGTACCACCTGAAGGGGGTGGGCTGGGGGGAGGCAGAGCTGAGCTTACAGTGCCTGGCCTGCTTGCTGGTCAGCCACACATAATAAAACTTCTTGCAAAACCTTGAGGCCACATAGCATTGGCTTCAGTAAGCATTGGGCAGCTCCGTGTGTGAGTTCGTGTAGTCGAATGACCCTAGCTAACCACCAGCCTGTACAGTCCCTAGAAAGACACAATGTGCCACTCAGCTGCTGGCTGCAGCAGAGAGTTTGGAGGACTGCCCGCCCACAGGCAACTGGGAAAGAAAAGCCCTAACCAGGAGCACAGGCTGTCTGGCTTGTCCTCCCCACAGGGCACAGGAGAGCCAAGCTGAGAAGTTGGGGTTGAACCCTGGTCCATGTCAAGAGATTTGTTGGTCCCCAAGACAAGCAAAGCTGAAACCCAACACTATGAAGCCGCCTGTGGTCCACAGGAAAGATGAGCCCGTGAAACTCAAAGTTACTCAGCACAGAGGCCATGGACCACACTGACGGAGAATCAGCTAACACAGGAAGAAGCGAGGCAATAGAGCATGGAAAGGCAGTGAAGCCAGACTTAAATTTTCAGTGACAGAGCAGAATTAGAATTTTTAAAAGAACTGGATTTGAAAAGGAACCAAACTAGAAATGAAACTGAGAGGGGACGATCACCGCTTGTAGCTGACATTAAAAAGAAAAAAAAAACTTCAATGTCTGGATGAAAAGGGGATGGGCTACTGCTGAAAATTCAACTAGTAAAGGGGAATACAGGTGAAAAAAAATGCGTGACATGAAAACACGAGGGAATCTTGAAACATTGCGTAGAAGGTGTGTTCCAAAAAAGAAACAGAACTGCTGTCGCGGGACCTCAGGAAGGTCCCACAGGCAGGTGCCCCACTGAGCAGCCTGGTGCCCGCCCCCGCCCCGTTGCAGGCACGGCACCCACCCCACCACCAAGCCCTGGTTCTGAGTGGGCGCGGGACAATTTTATCGTCAGGATGCAGCACCCTTCCTGGGTGGCATGTGTGGCCTGGGTGTGCTGGGTGACGTTTAGGTGTGGCAGGTCACTGAAGAAGCTGCCCTCAGGAGGAGTTAGGGACTTTCCTGGGAGCCTGAGCCGGCTCTGGAGACAGACAGCTGTACCAAGAGCCAGTCTGGCCCCTAAGTCACTGTCTGGCTTCCTCCCACTTACTGTGCAATGGCTGTGTGACGCCACCACCACGAGGCCTCTCCAAAGCCTGTGCCATGCCTTTGAACTTCCAAAAGTGTATTTTGTCATAGTGACAAGAGCTTTATAACACACTTACCTCCCCTGGATCAGCGTGCGGTCAAGACCCCAGCCAGGAGGAGATTTGGTTCTTCCTCCAGCAGCATCGGGCACTTGGTGGATTCCTGCTGGTCCCTGATGCGGAGTGGGAGGGAACAGAGGAGAAGTGTCTTCAGGGTTAGTTAGAAGAGCAGGCCCTTAGGAAACTAAAGGCCATGATATAGGAATCACAGACCTGAACTCTCACAGGTGCCAAGGAACATCAGTGAAGCAAGGGACAAAGAGAGGTGCCCGAACCACCCCACTTACAGTGCCCAGGCTGTGAGCCGTAAGCCCACCCCAGTGCTGGCACGTGGTGTGGACAGCACTCCCAGCAGGACCAGCAGGTGCTGGGGAAGGACAGGTGCTCTGAATTCAATGTCCTGCTGAGACACCAAGATAACTGGCTTCTTCCTCCCAGGTATACAGAGGCTGCTCAGTAGTCACCATTTCAGCAGCATGGGGCTTAATCCTCCAGCAACAAACTGACACATCGCTATAAAATTGCCTAAGACCATGGGCAAATGGGTCATTTGATCCTACAGGATAAAAGATAAAAAAAGAAAAAAGAAAGAACTCCGTATATTGTAACTCTCTACATAAGAAACGTCAAGCTTGCTTTAATCCCGAGACCATAAACCCTGGGTCTTGGGATGGGGTGGACTGGACTTCGTGGAAGTCCCACACACACGTCCTTAAAGACGCCCACCCTCCTGGCTGTTCTGAGCCTCGT